TTAGAAGGCACAGCACTAAAATGTGTGGTAGCAAAGAAAGAGGAGGAGCGTAATACAGCGGACGAAATTTTCGATTTACTGTTGAATCAATTCGGATCAGGAATGAAGGGTCATCAAGCGATGATGAGATTTGTAAAAAGAACACAAAGGGAAGACGAGTCAACCGATCGATTCCTGGATGATCTTGACAGCTTGAGGAGAAGAAGCGACCCGAAAATCGACGAAATTCCGTCGCTTCAAAGTTTATTAACGGGGTGAGAAGTGACGACTTGAGAACGATGTTGGCAACGTATTATAGTATAATGCACCAACCCCAGAAGAGATGAGACAAAAGTGAAGAGAGTACATGTTGATGAAACTAAAAAAGTACTCGTTCTCAGAAGGCAAGAACATGCAAGGGGGAGCCAGCCACAAAGTTCGTCATGGTAAGAGCCTGGCGACGACATGGACAAACGTAGGTCTTGCGTAAATTCAGCAGATCATCATGTGGCAGATTGCACGACATACAAGCAAGGCATGAAAAGCTTGCGATACGCACCAGAGGAAGAGGATATGAATCAAACGGAGGAACATGAGTTTTACAGTGGCTTGATCATCAAGATAGGCGCGAGGTGTTTTTTTTCTGTCACAAAGAAGGCCATTTCAGGATGGAATGTCCTTTGTTTTGGAAGGCAGTGAAGAATCAGAATCAACCGAAACACAAACAGGGCCGTTAGTGCAAAATACCAGGAATAGACTAGCTGAAAAAGATTTGAACAACAAAGAAGCAGCGGGTGGTGAATTATCCACAAAGACAGTGAAGGCCGTGACACAAAACAAAGAAGATACCACGGAGCCGAGACGAGAAACTCTCTAGAGATAAACTACGAGAGAGCAGCTGCAGAGGCAATCAACAAAGTGAAGCAAGACTTGGCGACCAAAAAAATCGAACAACGGTGAAACAAGAAATAGAAAAACAGAGATTGAATGAAACACTCTGCATGACAAGATCAGAATCAGAGACCGGAGAGAACTCAATGAGTGAAAGCCATTGCAACACCTTGAAAATGGTGACTGGAAAATCTTTTGGTCTCACGAAAATTGGGGTCAAGAGTAATGTCAATAATCACAGTGGGCGGCCACAAAGTTTCAAGAAACTTGAGTGAACCGAGTGATCAGACAATAATGCACATAGATGTGTACGCGGATTACTTGAGCGCAACAAGCCCGAAAACTCCTTCTAGAGCTTCAAGGGCAATACTCACGAGAAGTGGTAGTAAATCAGTTTCCATAGACAACAGATACACGGAAGCCTATGGTCCAACTGAGGTCATGCTGAATATAGATGTAATAAACATCTACACAAGAACGATGATAGCATGTGCTGATATTCTAGCCGAGCAAATCTACGTTGGTAAAGAAGAAATAAAGTTGAATCGATCGAATACTGCGCTATGTTAGAAGAAGATGCAATGTATCTGGGAACAGAGGCAGACGTATCGGCACACGTACTGGACATAAGCGGAAAAAAGACTCAACTGCGTGGGTTATTGGACACAGGAGCCATCTTGAGTGTCATACCAATTGGAACATAGAAAAAAATGGGGTTCGACAAAGATGACTTGATAGACTCAAGAATACGGTTGTCAGCGGCAAACAAAGGGGCGCTGCGGGTTCTAGGAAGGACACCAATAGTAGCTCTAGATCTGGGGGAAAGCAATTTGTGGATAAGTTTTCTGGTACTGGAGAATCTGGATGAGTCTGACCAATTTATTTTAGGCAGAGATTTCAGCAGGAATTTTGAGGTAACAATTGATCTAAGCAATGCGATATTCAGGATTCGGAACCCGGAAAGGAAGTACGTAATTAGACCGGTAAATTTGATAATGGCGAATGAAAATAAGGCTCCAGTTTTCTTGAGTATGAGGGTAAGGCTGAAAGCGAATGAGGCGGCAATAGTAAGTTTACGGATGAAAAACTATAATGAATTAAGCGACAATAAACAAGTGTGTATTGAAACGAATCCAAACAGTCAAAGTGCTGCTATTTTAGGAAGATCCTTCTCGATAACCAAGTGTGGACTCTGCGTCAGTGTCTTGTTGAATTTTCTTAATATACCAATCACAATCCAGAAGGGAGGAAGCTGGGATACGCACTGCCCGTGAAAACTAGATATAAAATAACTGAAAATGTGAAAAAAAATGAAGAATTTGATTGCCCGAATCATAAGGATAAAATATCTTGAGAACATTGAAAAAAAAAATGTTCATCAGGTCTTGTGAAGTCACTTAAGTCAGGGACAGACGATGGACTGTCGAAGGGTTCGAACTTTCCTGAAAGACCCACGCTAGAGGAATTGGAAATGGATAAACCAAAATTACCAGAAATTGAACACTTAAGGGGAAAAATAACAAACGAACAGCTCGAAGCCATCCGGGATGTTCTAAATAGAAATCAGGATGTTTTTCGAGGCATAAGACAGACATTGGATGCTGCAACTTCGTTGAACATGAAATAAAGCTGGAAGAGATGGCGGTGCCGCACAGGGAGGGGGCGAGGCGTATGACCCCAAACAAATCGGATGCATGTAGAAAAGAGATAGACACCTTACTAGGGTATGACATGATAGAACCTTCCAAGTCACCGTGGGCGTGTGGAGTAGTGATGGCTAAGAAGAAAGGAGACCTTTTTGGCAGTTACCACTGAGGAAACAGGACAGGGACAAGACAGGATTTGCTTGCCAGCTGGGGCTGTTTCAAGGGAAGAGGATGCCCCTTGGCCTTTGCAATGCTACAGCCACTTTCCAACGATTGATAGCACATGCACTGACAAGTGTAACGAAGAAATATGGTAATTTGTTAATAAGTTACGAGGATGACGTGGTGATAGCGACATCTACTCCAGAGGAACACATCGAACGACTAGACGAGGTGTTCGCTTGCATGAAAAGAGCAGGACTAAAATGCAAGTCATCGAAGTGTGAGATTCTCAAGGATTTGATCAGTTACCTGGGGAGGATAGTGGACAAACATGGCATTAGACCAGACCCAAACGCGGTAAAGGCGGTGCTGACTTGGAAATCACCGAAAACGGAGCATCAATTACTGCGCTTCCTGTGTTTTGCGAACTTTTACAGGGAGTTCGTCAAGGGCTATGCGGATAAAGTATATCCAATGCAACAACTCATGAGGAGCAAGGGCAAGAAGTTCACGTGGAATAACGCGGCGGAGGAATCATTTCAAAGAACAAAGAGAGAGCTGTGCGAAGCACCTGTGCTAGGGATGCCCACGGAGAAGGGAATGTATGTGCTGGATACGGATGCATCGATAGTAGCGATCTCTGGGATACTCCACCAAGAACAGGAGTGGAACGGATAGACAGTCTTGAGACAGATAGCCCATGGGAGCAAAGTCTTGATTGATACAGAAATGAAGTACGGGGCTCCCAAAGCGGCAATGTTTGCGGTAGTCACCTTTGTAGAAAAATACAGGGCATACCTGGGTAGCGAACCAATGAAGTTACGAGTCGACAACAGAGCACTCAGTTGGTTGAAATCGTACTCAATGGACCAGAGCTACATTGGGAGATGGATAGTGCGCCTGGATGTTTATAACATAATTATTGAGCACAGAACAAGGGACAAAAATCAAAATGCCGAGCAAGAAGACGGAATTCTACGAGAGACAGGAGCAAAGGGAGGCCGACAGACCGGAAATCAAAGATGGTTTCGCATTTATTGACAAGGAGACGTATGACAGTCTTCCACTCACGAGGTGGCTTGACAAGTCAGGGAAACTAATAGAGGATCATCCCGAGCTGCCAGCTGAACATGAGACGAAAAAACATTCTCAAGTGAAATTCAGGGATGCCAAATGAAACGATGCTCAAGTCGAAGATAGTGAAGGAAACATTAAAAGCAAAAGACTTCGACCTCGATGAAGTGGAGACAAGAAGTAACGATAGTAGAGGATCTGAGGAGACTACTCGAGAAACTAGCAGACGATAAACCGGTAGTCCGGAACAATGATAAAGACAAACTGGAAGTCGTCATATTGAAAAGAGGGGAAGTGGCTCATGGCGAGGACTCAACGATAGGCAAGCAACATGACGACAAAGAGGATGTGCAAACATTGGTCGAGAAAATCGCAGAGAACATACTAAGACGGACTACGTTTCGGAAGAAGAAGGTGACATTCAAGGAGAAAGCGTAACACCTAGGACCATATCAAGAGACCGGGGAGTGGTCGAAACCAGAAGGAGACAGTGAGGAAGAGAATTTCTCCGGGAAGTCGGAAGAATGGGATGAAGACTCAGAGAGGAGTGGTGATGACCAAGACAGTCTTTGCATGATATTAGCAGAAGAGAAATTGAGGCACCATGACAGAGAACTACAAACTGACCCTTCCTCAGGGACTTTGACGATGACAAGGAGGTCTTGAGAGAGATAGTTTGCGTTAAGCTAAGAGACGACATCCTTTTTCCTGAGGAACTGAATAGTCAAATGATGGAATTGAAGGAACACGTCAAAGTGAGATACACTTTCGGATCTGATACGAGCCCAGAAGAATTACAAGACGACGAGTAACATCTCTACAAGGATTCGGACCGGAGCCAAGCAGAAAGGAGACCTGGAGGAGGATAGTTACAAGATCTTGAGCCAGTTCTACAAAGAGAGAAGGGACTTACTCTATCACACAGCTGATGGTGTAGTAGCCTGTAGGAGGAAAGATGAAGAGAAGATATTACACAGGCATAATCTCGTCATTTTGGCACAGCTATACCAGACGGAAATGTGGTTCAGGTCGCACGACCAGATGGGACATCAGGGGATAGACAAGGTACAACAAAGAACATTACACAGGTTTGATTGGCCAGGGTTGAGAAGGGCTTGCGAAAAGTGGGTGAACGCATGCTTGTCGCGTTTGCAAGTAAAAAACCCTAAAAACATAAAGTTCCCACTTAATTCCGTGGAAATCTCAGAGTTAAACGAGGTCGTGCAGATAGACAATCAGAAGATCTCAATGACGGACCCGGGATACAATCAGATACTGGTAATTATAAACCACTTTACGAAACTGGCAGAAGCGGTTCCATGTCAGACGGCCTCAGCGGAAGAGACTTGTGATCATTTGATAACGCACTGGATATCACGATATGGTTTACCGATGACATTCCAATCGGACAATGGGAAAGCCTTCGTGGGGGACCTGACAAAAGAACTGATGAGGAGATCCCACATTGCTCAAGCGCATTCAAAAACCTACCGTCCTCAAACGAACGGATTAGTGGAGAGACCGAACAAAACACCGGTGAACAAGCTCAGGGTATACTGCTCGAGATACATGACAGATTGGGATAAATATCTGCTGCAAGTGGTAGGGGCGTATAATAGCACGCAACATTCAACTACAGGGATCACTCCTATTATGATGTTAACTAGCAGGGCGAGAGCGATGCCCCTGACATTTTTCTATCCGGAATACGAAAGGAAAAAGACGTCGCCTCAGGCGTAAGTGAAGGAAGCGGTCAAGAGACAACAAGAATTGAACGAGCTCTGTAGAAGAAACACGGCGCAGGCACAGATGAGACAGTGGAAGAAGTAGAACACTTCAAGCGAAACCGTATGCTGTGGGACAATACCTCTGGGTGTTCCAGAATATCATACCTGCAAAAGGGACTTAAAAATTATGAAGGAAATGGAGAGGACCGTTTCTGATAACGGAAGTACACCAGCAGAGCCGCTTTTGTCGCTTGAGTACAGGGCGTGCGGCGCACTACGAAAATCCGAAACCTCACGTCCCATCCCCGAAGACTGGTGTATACCACAGAACATGAAAGGGCTCAAGTATCTACTGGTAGAGCCAGCATGTGAGGTGAACGAGAAAGGCACCTGAGATAAGAATGACAGCAACGAGGACGTGAGCATGGATGATAAAGAGAAGATAGAGGTGAATTTGGACGAAGGATCTTTCGCGGAGGAAGATTGGAGTGATCAAGAGCAGAACTAGGTACCAAAGTGGATAGAACCAGACCTGCCAATGACCACAGGGAAGAGAAAAGGTGATCTCAAACGGACAGGAATGAGTTACAAAAGGTATGGTGACGACTTCTTGATTGACAAGATACAACCCGATGAGATAGGCGAGGAGTTGGTGGGCGAGCTGGTAGCCGATGAAGAGTGGCAGATCTTCAACGACAGCGAGCATTCCTTGCAAGAATACTACTCCGTACAGGAACGAGATGTAGACCTGGAGCATAGCGAGATAGAAAGAAGGAAAAATACAAACTTGAGGGTACTGGAATGGATGCATAACCTTGAGACTGACAAAAGGGAAGCGCAAAACATCCAGCAAGCCCACGTATCAACAATGAAACATGTGAAGACAGGAAATCCACTATTTGGTTGGACAGCTACTGACTGGCCACTAGAAATACCACCGGATAACTTGAACCCAGCACCATCGACGGGGACGTCGGAAAGTATTTTTGTCCGGGGAGTGGGGGTAGGACTTACCCACACCGAAAATTTGATGATAAAGAAGCTCAGGGAAGTAAGAGAGACGAACGGTTTGGAACTGGATCGGAAGGAAGCTGCGTCTAACATTGGAAGAAATTTCAAGACAAAATTGGAGATACCGAATGAATATTTAGGTGACTTATGTAACATTCGCCCGGAAGATACATATCAACGGAAAATAAAACTAAGTCCTAAGACGACTGGCGACTGGCTAACGTCTAAACCGAGCTTTACATGTTTTTAACCGTCTCTACCAAGCCAGTACTTTCAGTGGTCTTTCTAACATCGGGTCGACAAAAAACGTTACTGCTTTCGGCTTCGGTCAAAACACTCAAATTAACTAAACTACATGCAGAAATAGTGAGCTCATGGCTGGGTCTCAGTATCCCCAGACCACGAGGTCACTCCTAAAATCAGGGCTACTACTATTTATTGAATTATTGTTTTTTTTCAGTAGATAAAAAACATCATCTCCATCGAAGATGGATCAACCCTTTCCCCCAACTCCTAGCTTCTCATCTTAGCAGAATGAATTCAGATGTTAATTAAATTCAATTCAGGACATAATAGGGAAGCTAAAAGTTTATATAAGTTAATAAAAGTTTCAGTCCCGAGACCCCTCCGGATTCCTGAATCCGGGGAAATAAGGCTCTTATCTTCCTTCCGGAAGGCTGGTTTTCCACCCTTCACCGTTGTTCGCAACGGCCTTGCAACTATTGTAGCGACACAAAACTTGCAACTCGGAGCGGTCTCTGCTACTTCTGCAATTTGTTGTTGTCTCTCAATCACAATCTCCGTTGTTATCGCTATCGCAACTATCGTTGTTGTGTTTTTCTCTGGTTTTCTATCAAAAATGGCCGTTTCTGACATTTCTCAGAAATATGACGTCATACTTCGAATTTTTAAATTTTCAAAATACCAGAATATCTTGACCTTCACCGTTTGACTAATCGTCCCAATAACGTTGTTTATCGCTTAAAACCGTCAATTCGGAAGGTTCGCTGCTAAAATTCCGAATCTGCTGAATTTGCATTTTGATCCATTCTGGTCGTATGTCATATACTCCCCGGTCAGTCCGGTCAATGTCCTCATTGAATCTCGCAATGTTCGTAAAATAGGTACAGTGTCATCGAACAGAATTTATAAAATGCACGAAATCACTTTTATCCGCGTCATATCAACTCACTGCAGAATATAAATGGCATCATACTACATCACTATAGCCTTCAAATTCTTTCATTAATCTGCACAATAAGGATATGACCTAAGATAAAAACATCTTTTCTGACTTCCAATGTCAATGTCCTGACTAAAAAATTTTCTCCTAGATTTTTATAAAGACGTTGGTTCGCAGGACAGTCCTGCCAACCAACAAGCTAAAATTATCCTACTACGCTTCTTCCCTTCGGAAATCTTGCTCGTTATTGTCCTGGATATTAAAACTAAGAAACTCTGTGGTTAGAAAGAACAATAAAACAATCTTCCTCTTCGAGAGATTACCCAAGCCTTTCATATCACCACAAAGTGATCAGTTCTCCTAGTTGATTAAAAACAATCATGCAGGCTGGAATATTTAGATATACTCTTCACTCAAGCCTTTCTAAATAAATAGTAAGTAAGTGTCTCTAAAGCCACTTAACTTAAAACAAAATGCAAATTTATAAATGCAACAATTTCTTCAATGTTCAAAGCTCAACTAAATGCTTCAGTTTTCAATTACAACTTGGTTGCTTGGTTCCTCACTTGAGTTTTTCACACACATAAAACAATTCTGAGTTTCACTTTCTTTTTCTTCGTCACTCCTTTGTTTTCTTCTTTTTTTGTCGTTCAGAAGTTCTAAAACTTCTAAATTCTTCTAAGTTTCTTTATTTTTGCCTCTTGTTCTTTCGACCGTTTGTCAATGTTCCATCTCTTCCTCCTGTGACACTGACTCTGCACTTTCAGTTTCTGTGTCTTGCAACACCTCGTTACCTATCCTGACGCTGTTGGAAGCAGTCCTCCAACACTTCTGCTCTTCTACCCTCTGTTTGCAACAAGGTAGGGGATCCACGTTAGATTCTCTGTTTCGGCAGACGCTGTTGTGGAGACAACGTCACGTTTCTCTCCAAATCTTCCTTCAACATCTCTTCCTTCTCCTTTCCACTACGTTCACTCGTCCTGTAAGTTCTCTTTACAGCGGTGGTCACTGCATTCCGATGAGTCACGGAGGCTCGCTTGAAAGCTCATGCTCCAATGTCCAGCTGATATTCACTGTAACGTGGAGACAACGTCACGTTTCTCTCCAAATCTTCCTTCAACATCTCTTCCTTCTCCTTTCCACTACGTTCACTCGTCCTGTAAGTTCTCTTTACAGCGGTGGTCACTGCATTCCGATGAGTCACGGAGGCTCGCTTGAAAGCTCATGCTCCAATGTCCAGCTGATATTCACTGTACACTCTGCCGTGCTTCGACCTTCGACATATGCTTCTTAGCATATTCGTACAACCATGCAGTCATGTTAGCTCTGATCCATGGCATCAATCGTCTCCTTGCCCATATCTTTCCACTTCCATCGGAATGTTTAGAATCTTGCACATTGTCTCAAAAAGATCTAGATCTTTCAGACAATCCAATTTCCGCAACTGTTCTCTCGTTGGCGCTTCCTGTCTATTGTTCTCTCTTACATGAGCTTCCAGCCATCGTATCGCCATCATAATTCCCACTATCACTATTGTTATGGGCTGTGATGAGTCTGGTAAACCCATGGAGAGCAGCTCTCCAGAGTCCCAGATCAACACCAGATTACTACGCTTGGGATACCACCAGGTTTGCAGCAAGCAATGGCAGGGAAACTTGTCATGTTTCAACATGATGCTCCTCCAATTACGTTTTGCCGAAGCTTCCAGTAATGGTTCCACTTCCATCATCACTCGGTGGATTTCATCATTCTCGTCTACTGTATCGTAATCTGTAACAGTTGATCCTCTCTGTTTCTGTCTCTCAAAGTCACTGAAGTTCCCACTCACGTATCCCATGAACTTCCTTCCCAGTATCGATTCCAACTCCTCCTTTGTTCTCTCTGGAACTGCTGAGAACATCTTACATGGCAACTCGTAAGATTATTTGGACATTCTCGTTAGTCTCACAAACTTTGGCACTGAGAAGGCTTGATCCACGATCGTTCTCGTACCCTTTACATCCACAGCTACAAAATGCACCGGGTATCTGCTCTTGCACATTGGAGCCAATGTCGAGCCCACCAAATATCGTGCTCCTGGTGGTCTACAATAAGTCTCACTGTGTCTGATGTTCATTCACGCCTCGATCGCTTCCCTCCATTTTCCTATGTGTTTCTGCACGGTTTGCAGAACTCCTGGGAATACTTCTAAACTGATGGCTGTGACCATCTCATGTTTTTGTTCTAGATTCAATAGTGACTCTAAAGAACCAAACATGCTGTAGAATCCTAGTGCAGTCACTAGATTCACCTCGGTTTCTCCATGGCAATCTGCGATCAGTTCCGTTTCCGTCCTTGCCTTCAACACGAAATTCCCAAACAATATCGTCAATTGCTTGTGTTGTCTCTCTAGGGTCTTTACGCAGTCCAGACCTCCACAAAGGTGACCTTCCAGTCCACAGACTTCCGCCAGACAGCTACCAAGTTTGACCCAGTCTTCTGGTCCCCAGCCAGGCAACTCCACCTTATCTTCCCCGTTGCTCCTAGAGGCTGTTATCATCACATTATATATGATGTTCAGGTCACGCATGTTACAATCTGCATTCAGCTCCCTCTGCACGTCTTGTGTCGCCCGTAATATTGAGTCAGTGTTGGGACTAGGACACCATGACGGCCTCATCAATTCCCACACTACCATCAGGCTCGTCCTCAGTAATTCATCTGAGAATCCCAACCCAAATTCCACTTTTTTGTCGGATTTTGGTACGGAAGGTGCAGTCACCTCTTCTTCTAAGACCAGTCCCAATTTGGTCTGAGGATTGATAGCGCTCTTAATCGTT